GGCCAGCCACCTGGCAGGGCCACACCCACCAGGCCTGAAGGTGCCTGTCACCCAGCCTGTCAGCCTTACAAACATGGGAACACATGAACAGCAGCACAGTGCAGCAAAAACACATGTAATATAATATGAGTCCACACTGCTCATGGACCCTGGGTCCCTGGAACTGACCTCACAGCCCATTGTTCATTCCATGGGCTGGTTTCAGTCATTATGCAAATATACTGTTTATAAGATTGGGGAAACCTGCAGTCAGCTGAGACAGAATAAGTCACTTGGATGAGTGACAAAACGTTTTTACCACTGAAAATGCTACGTCCAGATGAACAGTATCAACCTTTTGGGATTCACTTACCTGGATGATTCAGCATGCATCAAGACATTTTACCTTAGTAATAAAATGTTATACTGGAGTTTTGATCTCCTGACATTTTACTGTGATTTAGGGTGTGTATGTGTGTGTTCGTTCTTCTTTGCTGGGATTTTTTTGTACCAAAGGAGAATGCACACATGGCACACAGCCCAGATCTTGTGTGGGGGAGAAAAGCCTTCAGTGTTTGGTCTGGATGACTAAGCAAAGTCATCCTTAGTCATCCTGCAGTGTGGCTTGTAGCTGCAAGGGAAGGGTGGAGCAGTGGGTTCAAGGAACAGTATCAGGGGAGGCTTGCTGGCATCCATCACGCTAACCATCAGTGTTAACTGACTTTAACATGCATGATTTAAAAAGAAGTTATATTGAGTATATTGTGATTGACAAGGACAGAGTCATGACGAGAAAAAGTTTCTATGGACTGAGTTAAAAGGAGATCATGCTGAAATAAATATTCAGGAATATGTGAAATGGCAGAGGCCAGAGGTAATGGCGGGACTTGAGACCACTGGCTTAAGCTGTGAAACATGGAAAGTCAGATAGATTTGTAGTGAGGCAGTCAACTTCAATCGGACTGCCGAGGGGCTATTCAATAGCCCCTCAACCTGGACACTATATATATATATATAGTGCTTGCTCATAGGGGGTCATATGATTGTTGGGTTTTTCTCTGTACCTATGAAGCGCCTTGAGGTGACTTTTGTTGTGATTTGGCGCTATATAAATAAAATTGAATTGAAGTGAATTGAATTTCTCTCCAACTGATCTAAAATCTGTAGCTTATCTTCAGTTTGTTTAGAATGCAGCAACTAAGGTCTATTGTCACCATTCTTGTTGACCTTTGTTGAAATTCAGAATTGAATTTAAAATTCTTTTAATTACAACTAATGTCCTGCTAATATAACTGTTCTGTTATGATCCTATTTCTCTTTAGAGGCATCCATACTTTAGCACCTTCATCAAAAAGGCAATAGTCTTTTTAGTGAAACTCAACACTTTGCTTTGGCTCTGCAAAGTGTAATATAAACATTTAAAAAAAAGTAAATAATTGCAGGAATCGTTGAGCAAAAGGGAGGTAGTTATTCACAGTTGGTATTGTGAAAAAAGGACATAGAGAGATAGGGGTGAATGCTTTTTAAACATGTAGGGAAAAAATGTGCATCATGTGCTTTCTGCTTTCAATTGACCAGTGAAAAAGTATAGCTGAATAAGCAGGCTTAGTACTGCATCATCAGTGGCTGACAAGATTAAGCGTAATAAGCTGCTTAGTATCAAGAATAGAAACAATAAGAACTGGAACAGTCTGAGAGACGCAGGCAATGTAGACAGTGGAAAAGAAGCAGCTGTTCGCCGGCAGTCTGTCTATCTTTTCATGTCTGCTACATAAAGGTTTGATAGCAGTCATCAGGATATCACATCAATAGGTAAGTCAGATGTTTTTCTATTTTTAAAATAAGTTTACTTGGTCAACATGATCCCTATAGAGCAAAGCTTTCTAACATTAAACATAGTAACCTAACAGCTCTAATTTTCACATTTGAATAAGTCACATGTCTGACTTTACTGACATTATTGTCGTTTATTGAAAATCATCTCTTGTCTTTCTCAGAAAAACAAAACAAAAAACAAAAAAACAAAACAAAACCAGGTGTCAGCTCTAACTTGTTAACACACTTTGATGTTTTATCTGTTTATAGATGGTGCTCATTCAGACAAAAGGAGGTTTTTTTGTTTTGTTTGTTTTGCTTCTTAAGCAGGAAACTGTTTGATGCACATCGTTAGCTTCATAGCATAAGTGCCTAAGTCATTTTTTTGTGATGACATAGGCAGACGGACAGGATGATGCAGCAGTGGTAGGGGAGTAAAGTTAGGCAAAAATCTCAATTTGACCAAAAAATGACTTAGGCACTTATGCTATGAAGCTAACGACATGTTAACTGAGTTGCACAGGATTATGTACCAGTGCATAAACTTTCTGTACATAACTGGATATTGCCAGGTTATAATTTTTCCTTTTGTATCAGTTTGTTCAACAGTAATTAGACATTTCAATAATTACTAGTGTTTGTATTTTTAAAAAAAATGGTGATAAATACTGAGAATTAAGCATCTTAATGATTTACATTTTCTGTTTCTTTAATAATTGCTTTCATGTCAGTGTAAAAAATGCCAAGCAAAAAAGCAAAACATTCATTAAAACAGTCAGAGCAAACTGACATATGATCTGCTTAGTCTGGAATCTGAAAATGTATTGAGCCAAAATGTGTACATATACCCATAAAAAATACAACACTTGTTCGTCTTCGTTCAGTGTTTTGTTTCCCAGCGGATGTGAGACTGTGGTGGATTTCAGAATGAGCAAGAGGGGGAGAAGGAGAAATAGCAAGAGGAGGAAGAGCTCCAGCAGCAACAAACGTGAGTTGGAGCTTGGGAGGACGCAGTGAGGTTAATCTTGTGCTTAGCTGATTCACATTTTTCTCCACACGTGCATACAACGTGCAAGTACTTCTTGAGACCGGTAGAGGACTAATAGCAGCTTCATAATAGTGGGTTTTATGGCATAACTAGTATAATGTTGAATCCTAATGGGCTTTTAACTTTATGGAGAAAAAGCTAAAATAAACAAGCAAAAGTATTGATCAGTACTTAAACCTCAATGCACGAGGTATCCAACAATCAAGCAACCCCAGAATGAAATTCACCAGTTCCAAAGTAATTTTGTAGTGTTGGGAAAATTGTGTTATATCATTTTATTTATGTAGCACTAACTCACAACAGCATTTGAGCTTTATATTGTTACAGTAAAGGGCCTACAATATTAGAAAGAAACCAGAACAAACTATGAGTAAGCACTATAATACTTGTACTGTCAAACATCCTCTAATATAATTACTTCACTATTTTGCTTTTTCTTTCAGAGAGTATCTCACCATACATCTTTAAAAAGCAGAACAAAAGCACTGTCTGCACCAAAGATGACATTGTTGAAAAGGGAGAAACAGACTCTTTTCGAAAGGAAAATGTACTGTCAAGATCTGAAGATGAGGAAAAATACAACAATCCTGAACCCAAGGAGAAAAGATTTAAGCAAGATTATCACTTGAATTCATTTGCACACCAAAAGAGTATTTATACCAAAACAACAAAGGACGAGAAGAACGGAGTGAAAATAGTAACCTCAGTTTCTGTAACAGGAGATTCATCACCAAATATTATGTTTCAGCAGTCACAAGAACCCTTATCTGAAAATCAAATCCACTCACCAATTCCAGTTACTAACATCCTGAATATTAACTGCTCTGGATCACATTTAAAACTTCAGCTTAATACATCTGGCAACAAGACCACACTTGTTTTCATGAATAAAAGCTGGTCCAGTACTGAGGTTTTTAAGAGCAAATTTGAGGAGACATGGATGCCAGACAATGAGTCTTCTGAACAACCATTGGATAATGTCCCCGATGAGGAAAAAAATCACAACAATAATGACAAAGATCACACTGGAACCACAAGTAAACAAGCTGAGCCTTATTGTGATTCAAAATGTGCCAGATCTGCAAATATATGGGACAATCCAGACTGCAGTCAATGCTGTAGTGATGACAAACAACAAGGATCGGGAGACTTTAAACTGGCAGATCATCTATCAAGCCCACCGCTGCTGTTAAATATTAAACCTCAAGGAAAGAGGCAAAGTTTCCATACAAGTCTCAGTTCTGGTGATGAGTTCTGGCACATCCCCCCACCCCAAGAGTTTGCAGATATTAAAAACAATAGTTTAGAAGGTCTGACACAAGACTTAGCTTCTTGTAGAATCAACACTTCTAGTCCAGCTGTTGATAAACGAGGAGACTTGACCTCCACTGAGGAACTTCAATGTCTATTTTGTGCACAAGAAGAAGAAAGAGGGGGTCTGCCACCTTCTTTTGATGAGTTATCACAATCTGACAATTATGACCCAGTGTTCATGAGACCCTTGATGTCTACCAACAGGTCTAGCTTCATGAAAGACTTCATCAATAGTCAGAAAAGAAAATCCTGGATTAGAAATAATAGTATTGCCACCGTCGAACACAAAGTATGTTCATTACCCAAGAAAAGACGTCAAACATTTCCTGGGATGTCACAGGGTCTAGGACTGATGCAGGAAGATCTCCAGCTACCTTACAGAGAATCTTTTTCCTCTTTGGTCATGTGCTCACTTCCCCTCCAGACAGAGAGGCTAGAAAGGACTGAAAAGGGCGATGACAGGTTATCTGCATTTGGATTAGAAAATGATACATTTTCACAAACCAAAGGGAGTTTAAAACAAGTCCCGGAAATTCTAGACAGCCATGACAGAGCACAGCCATTGCTCAGTCCATTCTATGTGACTGGTTCTGAGATTAATCCTGAAATCATCATGAACACTGAACACTGTGAAAGACATGACTTCAACAGTCAACATGATACTAACTTGAGCATTTATAAGGATATGGAAAGTCTAGACACTGATGATTGTGAATATACTGTTGATCAATGTGAAGTAGCAGACAGTGGATTTGACCAAGAATTTGGAGAAGGAGAATATCACAGTCCAGAGCCCCTTACAGAAGAGCTAACTCGAAGAGCTTTTTCTATACAAGTCATCCCTCCATCCTGCAGTGGCTCAGAGGAACATATGCTACAGAGTCACCCAGAAATACTACCTGCAAACAATGAGGTTAAAAATGCAAACCAGAAGGATTCAGTCTCTTTTTTACCCGGATATAGCAAGTTCTCAGTCCAGACAATAACAGATGGTGCATTTGAGCCAAGTCTCTTGCAGAGGGACTCACAATTATCCCTGGATAGTTGTCTAAAGAGGGATTTTAGAAATGCTGTGGACGACCCATGCATGTCCCTCTTGCAGGACTTAGATGTAGAATCATTAAACTTAAATGATGTTACAGAGGACATTAAACCTAAACCAACTAGTGAAAACATGGAAGATACCGACCCTATTCTCCCACTGATAAATGAGAGGACAGATTATCTGGAAATCGACACAGAAAATTCAAGACAACCTGCAAGCATATCATCAGGTCCAGCAAAAGATTTTAAAGACACAGAGGTCCTTGCAAAAGAGACGCTTAGTAAAACTAACAGGACTGAAAAACAGATTGTATCTAAATGTAAGTTATTTCCATTCATATTCATTTAAATTCATTTCAGCCAATTAGTTATGTAAAACTCACCTATTTGTGATTCTTCATGACCATTCCCAGCTTCTTTAGAGATCAAGGAGCATCTGAAGCCTGTGGTTCATAAAGATTCGGAAACAAGTGGCTCTGAACACTTGGCTAAAAGGCGAAAGCTCTTCAAAGAGAGCAAGCAGTGGAGCTCTGTTGGAGGAAGCTCAATCACCAGTGACATCACAGAGGAATCAGGTGACTTTGATGGAAAGCTTGAACAAATGTCAGGGAAAAAATGTCATAAAGAGTAAGTTTAGTGATTAAATTTGATCTGCCAGTCCTGTAAGTGGTGCAAGCAGAATGCTGTATTATCTGTTTATTATCCATAAAAAGTGACTGGACTTCTTTAAGTTTTGTGAAGATGTTTCACATCTCATCTGCGAGGTTTCTTCAGTTTTATACAACCAGGTGGACAGGTATTCAAAACTTAAGTCGCTTTCTTTCCAAGCTCCTTACACTTCTTTGCTGATTTGACAACTGCAGATATAGAAATGCATCTATATGTAATGAATTGTGCTGTTTAGTGTTCGTTTGTTTGATTTGTGTCTTTCTTTGTTTTGCTAGTATCAGAGGACACGCCTTCTATGGACATAGCATTTCAAGAAAATGAAGACAGGGGCTTTTATACAGAAACATTCCACTCATCAGCATGGATTTTTCAAGGAGATAATGTAGGCTCTGGGGGAATTCATACCAGCCTAACCACCAGAACTCGTGCCGTCTCAAGTAAGCTGCAGCTTTTGTGTTTTTACAAAAAAGTTAACTTTATTTAATTTAATGACAGTAACAGGTCATTTAGTACTGAATCCTAGTTGTTACTGAGAATTACTGAGAAACTCTTGAGTACTGCAGAGATATTACTGTGAATTTAACTTAGCACTACCAGTCAAACGTTTTAGAACACCCCAATTTTTCCAGTTATTTATTGCAGTTCAAGTAGTTCTACTCCAATGAATAGCTTGAAATGGTACAAAGGTATGTGGTGAACTGCCAGAGGTTAAAAAAAAAAGGTAAGGTTACCCAAAACTGAAAAAAGTGCAGCTGTTCGGCAGCAATGGAGGTTGATCAAGCCTTGAAAGCTAGTGCAACTAATTCCTACAGGTGTTCCAACTTTTCTGGATTACTTACAACCCCCTCTGTCTGCATAACAGCAGTGTAGGAACACACTGTGGTACCGTACCCTCGTGAGCATCAGTTGAACAGCACTGTACTGCAGAAAGTAGTGTGTTGCTAAAAAAAAAAAAAACAGTGTAAAAACCAAAATGAACAATGGAAGAGAGCCACACCAGCATAACACTTAAAAATGTACGTCTTCCTACAGATAAATTGCAAAGAAAGTCAAGGTGTCAGTGAGTACAGTGGCACTCATAAACTGGGGCAAACTCTGACAGGAAGAGGTCTGGCAGATGCAAAGCCACAACTGAATCAGAGAACAAGTTTCTGAGAGTTAACAGCTTGCGGCATACAGGACAACAGCTTCAAGCACAGCTTAATAGCAACTGTAGTAAGCAATTCTCAGTTTCAACTGTGAAGAAAACCTTCAAGCTGTAGGTTTGACAGGACAAGCTGCAGAAAGAAAGCCCTCGCTAAGACGTCAGAATAAAACAAAGAGGCTTGCCTGGGCCATGAAACGCTGCCACTGGACTACAGAAGACTGGAAAATGGACTGATGAATCAAAATTTGAAATCTTTGGTTCATCACAAGGAATCTTTGGATGCTGTCAAGTAAGCAAAAGGATGGTTCCACAGTGTGTGGCATCAACTGTCAAACGTGGAGGAGGAAGTGTGATAGCCTGGGGCTGTTTTGCTGGATCAGGGGGTGGTGACTTGTACAGAGTGAGAGGCACCCTGAACAGAAACGGCTACCACAGCATTCTGCAGCACCATGCAGTACCGTCTGATATGCGCCTAGTTGGTCAAGAGCTCATCCTATAGCAAGAAAATCGATTACCTCAGGAAAAAAGAACAAGATGGTAAGCTTGAAAACATGGAGTGACCAGCACAGTCTCCAGACTTACTATCCATCAAGCTAGTTTGGGATGAACTGGACAGAAGAGCGAAAACAAAGCAACCTACAAGTGCCACACATTTATGGGAACTTCTGCAACAGATATGGGAAAAACGTTTTGAAGAATATTTGATTGCTATTGTAGAAAGAATGCCACGGGCATGTTCAGCTGTTATATCTGTGGCTACTTTGATGAGTCAAAAGTTTAGAATACATTTTGCTCTATAAATTGATTCCACGATTTCTGTGCTTTGCATTGCTTATTTGTAATATGCTTTCATTTCAGAGTGCAATGAGGCATTAAACTGCATAATCTTCTAAAAATCGGGGTGCTCTAAAACGTTTGACCGGTAGTGTACATACAGCGGGTGAAATAAGTATTGAACAAACTAACAATCCTCTAAGTAAATATATTTCTTTCTTTTTAGTAACCTGTCCTGTCTGGAAGTTTTAGCAACCAGATTCATGATCTAAATGCTTTGTGGTGCCAAACACATTTGCTTTGCCAAGAGGAACATACAATTTTGCGTGTGTGTGAGTGTCTGTGTGAAACAGAGAGAGAAAGAAAGAATGTGAGTGCCTGTGCATGGGTGTTTGTCATGAAACGTACTTGATAATGAGGGTGAGAGACTGCAACAACGTCCCCTGGGGACGAGAGACAGACAGGGGAAGACCCCACCCAGTCCCCCAAGAGTGTTGAAAATCCGAGGCCAAAGTGTGTTCCCGCCGGTTTAAGGAAGAGGGAAGCCCACAGCTAAAAGGCAGGAGTGCTAAAGAACCAGAGGCACTAGGCAGCTGACCCTGGCAGAGGCCGGCCATCCCAGCACAATCCGAGGAAATGACCTGGGCGCAATCGGTGGAGCCCCAATGCAACAAAAACGTCCAAGCCAACCACAGCCCCAAGGCAGCAGGTCAGCAATCACACCAAATCGCCCAGCCAGGCACCCCAGAGCCAGCAAATGCCCATATCCTGTGGGTGGGGCAACAACAACCAGTGGATAGCAGCAGGGAGAGGAACCCCCACCCCCCTCATGAAGCTGCACAAAGACAGATAACCATCCACATCCACCCTGCCCTTCGAAGTGCGGATGAATGGATGATCCCCAGAGCCAACAGCAACCCTGGGATGCAGTTGGCTTGACCCTGGAACACCAGCCAACCTCTGCCCCAGACAAGGTGCAGGAAACACGGGTGCATGAAGACCTGCCTGCTCCTATCTCTGCTTGTCAGTGTTAAACGTGGCCCGTTGGGTGTATGCGTTGGGGTGTGAATTGTAAATAGTGAGTATGACTGTGTAAAAAGTAGAGTGCTATTAAAATGACGATTTTGTGTCATTTTCTCATTATTACACATAAATTAATTCATGTACATATTTGGTTTGATTGTGTCCATTGGATATTTACCTAGAAAATTGGTGATGAGTTCAATGCCTTTTTTACCTGCTGTGCATATGTACATTTTGCTGCTCTTGTTAAACATCTCTTTCATCATCTTCAAACATCTTCCAGTTCGAGAGAGGACTGTTAAGATCAGCAAAGGGACAGGAGAATATCCCTGGGGCTTTCGAATACAGTTTTCTAAACCCATTGTGGTCACAGAGGTTGACACAAGTAAGTAAATTTCTATATCATAGTGCTGACTCAACTTTGTAGTTGTTATTTTGCGTGTTTTTTTTATTTTCTGGAATTTAAGCATTGCAAAAGTAACCAGGATGCAAATGTAATTACACATTTCGTGGACCTGCTGTTTATCCTCTACCTAATCACACGAGCCAAGGTGTGAAACCAGGTGTGGGCCACAATCAGGGTTTCAGGTGAATCCATTGTGAGATCTAGCCCCAACCTATCATGTGATTTCCTGAGGTCAGATGGCCCAGGATGTGAGTGGGCGTTTAGGCGTCTGGGAAGGGATCTCGAAACTGGATTATAGATGGCAGACAGTTGGTGTTGTAAGGCACCGCCTCTGTTCAAAGAAGGTCGTTTACAGTGGACATAGATGGCTTCTTTCACTCCTCATTCAAACCATCTGTCTTCTCTGTCCAAAATGTGAACATTGGCATCCTCAAAAGAGTGATCTTTGTCCTTTAGATCCGGATGGACAGCTGAGTCTTGTCCCATCAAGGTGGCTCTTCTATGTTGTGCCATGCATTTATGGAGTGGCTGTTTGGTTTCTTCAATGTAGAGGTCTGAGTATTCCTTGCTGCACTGTACAGCATACACTACATTGTTAAGGTTGTGTACGGGAGTTTTGTCCTTGGAATGAATCAGTTTTTGTCTGAGTGTGAGGCTGGGTCTGAAGTACACTGGGATGTCATGTTTGGAGAAGACTCTCCTGAGTTTCTCTGATAAACCTGCTACATAAGAGATGACAATATTGTTCTGCTTGTCCTGATTCTCCCTAGTTGTGTCTGACCTTCTGCTCTGTGCATCTTTGCTGATTTGTCGAAAGCCCAGTTAGGAGAACCACATGTTTTAAGAGCTTTCTTTACATGTGTGTTTTACCCCCTTTCCCCTTCTGGCTTAGAGGGAACATTTTCTGCCCGGTGTTGTAGGGTCCTGATTACTCCAAGTTTGTGTTCCAGAGGGTTTAAGTTTAAAGATATAATTAATCCACTGTTATCTTCTTCAATGCCATGTGGCAACAGTGCAGAGCAGCTACCTGATCTTTGGTTTGTCTGTTTGGGAGCTGACACAGTCTCTAAGTCTACACAGCCAGTGATGAGAGGTGTGTAAGATTGCAACTCTGCTTCCTGGTCCCAACTCTGGATAGTCACGTTTTGGGGGAGGGGTTTATAAAATTGGCCAGATCTCTAGAAATGAGACCCATCCATGAGCTGCTCGATCCAAAGTGGGATAGATGTTTTCTCTCCTAACAAGACTGGGTTTTCTGTAGAAAATTTCCCAATCATTTATAAAGCCCACATCATTTTTGGACACCACTTGCTAAACATGTCATTACTGGTCCAATTGGGGAGGCAACCAAAGAAAACAACTTTGGTGATCAACCTATCACTATTAATTAGCTACATACCACAGACCTTCAAGTTGGCAGTAGTTAAAACTATTACTTAAATAGCCATCACTTGACTGAGCGGTCTTAGCTAATTATAGGGCAATCTCCAACCTTCCTTTTGTCCCAAGAATTCTTGAAAGAGTACCCAACAGCTAACTGATCATCTGCAGAGGAATGGCTTATTTGAAGAGTTTCAGTCGGGTTTCAGAGCTCATCACAGCTCAGAAACAGCTTTAGTGAAGGTTACAAATAATCTTCTTATGGCCTCTGACAGTGGACTCATCTTTGTGCTTATCCTGCTAGTCCTCAGTTCAGTAGTCGATACGATTGACCACAACCGCCTCTGTCAGTGCGCCCCAGGGCAGCTGTGACTACAATGTAGCTTGCCATCACCAGTGTGTGAATGTGTGTGTGAATGGGTGGGTGACTGCTTGTGTAAAGCGCTTTGGGGTCCTTAGGGACTAGAAAAGTGCTATACAAATACAGGCCATACCATACAATACAACAACAACAACAATAATAAAAATAATAATAACAACAACAACAATATTGTTGCAATTAGAGCATGGTGTAGGAATTACAGGTACTGCGCTGCAGTGGTTTGAACTGTATCTATCTAATACATTCAGGTAAATGGAGAGACCTCACCACACACTAAGATTATGTTTAATTCAGCTATAGGTTAGTGTATAGTTTAGCCCTAAAAATCTTAGAAATATTGAATCCAACTGGATGTTTACTCTTGATGACATTACCTTGGCCTCCAGTAGCACTGTGAGGAGTCTTAGAGTCAATTTTGACCACGATATGTCCTTCAATGCACATATAAAACATCACTCTGCAGTTAATCATAATTTATTATTATTCTCTGACTCTCTTGCACTACTTGTCTTTGTCCTGTATTCCTCCCCTCACCACCAAATGGTCGTGGCAGATGGCTGCCCCTTGCTGAGGCTGGTTCTGCTGGCGGTTTCTCCTTATTAAAAGAGAGTTTTATCTTCCCACTGTCACCAAAGCACTTGCTCATGTAGGGCGATTAGATCGTTGGGGTTTCTCTGTTTTCTCTGTATTATTTTAGGGTCCTTACCTCACAGTATAGAGTGCCCTAAGGCAACTCTTGTTGTGATTTGGCACTAAATAAATAAAATTGAATCAAGAATTAGGTATAAAACATGAGTTAGTAAAAAACTGCAAATTTATACTTTACTTCTTGTTTTTTTATATACTTTATTTTTATTGAAAGTTTTATCATTTTGACATTCATCCACATAAAAAAAACAAAAAACATAATACACACTGACAACAACATCTTGGCACAGTGAAACCCTCATATCTGCCCGGTCTGGGGGAGCTCCCCTCCACCTCTTTTTAGGTGTCTTCAGGTTTTGTGTTACTGCTGAAGTCTACGTAGCACTTTACAGTCCACCCCTGGTGATGTTCGGAAGGGTATTTCCAGTCTATTTTATGAGGTGCCTTCTAAAAGCAGTGGCCACATCCTTAGCTGGCTTTTCTTCTTCCAGTGGTTGCATTAAAAATATTTAGCTAAACTCTGGTTATATAACCCACCACCCATCATCCCACATTTCCACCTTCAACAAATCTCTCCCACTTCCTCCAGTTTTTATGAAATTGGTCCCTTTTGAGATTCAAAAGAGATGTAAGTTTTTCCATTCTGTATATTTCCTCCATTATTCCTATCCAATCTTTCTTTGTTGGGTGCTTTTTCTCCAGCCACTTCCTGGTAAGAGCTTTTTTACCCGCTCCCAACAGGATATTTATCAAATATTTGTCCCTTAAGAAGACTGCTGATGGGATATCGCCCAGATACACA